GTTCTGATAAGGAAACACAGAGAACACATTGATGAAATGCTTTCTCCAGTAAGTTGAAATAGAATTGGTTTTTAGAGCGTGTCGGTGTTCATGGGAACACGTTGCAAAACGTAAAAACTCATTGGACGGTGTGGTTTTTATTGTTCCTAATTCCGGTGGATTTCTTTGGAGGCGGAAAGTAAAGTTCTCATAAAGGTAGTCGAAAACATGGAAAATCAAACATCATGCAGTGTAGAAAAATCTATTTAAACCCAGCTAAACTCTATGTTTTACAAGTCGTATTGCACTGCTTAGTGGAAGAAGCAGTATCCCAACACTCTTAAATGTTTTTGCCATGGATCTAGTCACTGTCGTTCCCTCAGCCAGCTAGTAACGAGGCTAAGTGAACGGCGTTACACCAGTTGTGGCGGATGGAGAGTTAAATGTGGAACGAAACTCCGGAACATAAATGGAATTACGGAGTGTATCCTATATCTCTGCCATGCTGGATTGGCATAGGCATACTGTATGTACGTAAACATATCACATAGCACATTCGTGGGTGCATGGATGTGCTTGCACGTCTAAGTGGATGCTGTCGTGCTTTTCAGTTCTGCGAAAAAGAAGTAATCAAGTGAATGGGAAGTGCACCGGAGATAGTTAAGAGTTACCTCCAACAAACAAGCGCCCTATTTACTACACGAAATGATGCAATTAAAATCACAAGACTATTCCGAGGTACAAAGTCTGAAACGAATATAGTGACGGTGTGTACTCACAATTCTCACATACCAACATAGGATTACTCCACTAATGGATGATTTGACTAGGAACGTTAAGTACGGGCGACCAGAGTGGCCGGAATGAGAAGACATCCATAAGACGCCTTTTATGATAACGATACTCTAAGGTTGATGAAAATAAGATCAAATTTTATCCGGACGCGGCAAAGCTATACAACAATAATTTGTTTTATAGCGTTGTAATTGGTAACTTTAACGTTAATGACGGATCCGGGAAAAAGTTTGAAGACCCTTATATTGAGGCGCACGAATTGGAATACAATAGATGAGATGAGCGGCTGCCTGAATTTATCACAACGGTGAAGACCATTCTTAATCGCTTGGAAGGGTAAAGGAAAGAGATTTCATCAAGATCTCAGGAATGCGCCAGAAATCTAACTTTGAAAGCATTCTAGTCGTGATTTAATGCATATTTGACCCATAGAGTGACATTTGGTGGTCTACCAATCCACTAAGTCAGTTGTGTCATCCTCAGAAACGACTGTTACTACTTTGCCGACCTCGGAGACACGAGGGTTTGGTTAGCACAGTGACTTAATCGAATCAACGAGCGCTTATTTCTTTCAAGGCACTTTAACCATTGCACCACATGGGGCTATAATTGCTTGCAATACAAGAGAAAACCCTCCTTTTGGCGTTGCACATAACGATTGCGCAATGGAAAGCACGAAAACGTTATGGGCCACATTATTTCCAGTTTTAAGTTTTATCTAGTTGATTATCGTTGCTGTTCAGAAATTATACACGGGTTCGTATCATTGACTCATTCGTGTTATCAGTATTGAGAAATACTATTAAATTACCAGTGGGCCGGAGTTCTGCAAATATCTTAGCAACATTCTAACTTATTATTTACTGCCTACTCTTTTTACCGACAGGGTATACTGGGAAATATAACTTCAACGATGCTGAGATATTTGCAAAAATACGGACCGCAGGTGTCTGCGGTGAGGAATGAACGCGCTGTTGTTCTTTCCGGAAAGTAACGCGTCCACCACCACACCATGCTGGCTTCTTCGTTTCAACTGGCTCTCAGCTAGTTTTATTGATCGGCGCCATCAGCAATCACCCGTCAACGGGACTGATCTAGGGAGCCCAAATCGGTAATGAACTTAGTTAAGCCGAGGCTGAAGGAGCTTTGCAAATATCTCAGCATCATCTTAGTTGTATTTCAGATGATACCCTGCCGTTAAAAATAATAGTAGGCAGTAAATAATAAGTTAAATCTTTTTATTCTTGCAAAACAGTCGTCTATATATCTACAGTAGAGTAGCGGCCCGAGATCAGACACCGGTGCTTCCACCTTAAACATAAACGCAATGGCAAGACTTGGTGCCGGTCGTTGTCCCATTGCCAACCCTCTTTTTTGAGCGTAGTACTTTCCGGACCATCTGAAGATTGAGCAGCTCAACCATTCTTTTAAGAGTGCCATCAAGTGCTTTATCTTGAAGCTGTACATGCTTATTTCTCCATCATGTTGTAAAAGGAATTCGAATATGTCTTGCATTGCAGAGTCATTCGACACGTTTGTATAAAGGGCGGTAACGTCGAAAGACTCCATCACGAACGCGCTGTTGGGCTGCGCAGTACGTAGACAATCCAGAAACATCTGGGTATTCGTAAGATGGGCTGGAATGTGTTTCAACAACTGATTAAATATTAGGGTTAAAAACCATGTTATCCTGTCCGTTGGACCGTCTACACAGCTAATGATAGGTCTAACCTTAAATAACAATGGATCGGTAGACGCAAGATCATCGCTGGACACTAACTTATGAGTTTTTATAAGTACAAGACCGGGCATGTCGGTAAGTCAACTTTTAGTTGAGAGATAACTGATGGTTTCAAGCCACCAGCCCTTGCCATTTTGGCCCATTCGTGGTTCAATTTTCGGTATTTACTTTTAAATTCCTTCTCAGATGATGGGCGATAAAGTAAAGCATCTTCAAAACGCTTTTTCGTTATCTCAACATCTAACTCATAGGGAATTACGACAAACTCTCCGCCCTTATCACTAACGGATAATCTTGTGTATTTCGACCTTATCAGCTCCCGCACCTCTCGCATACCACGTTTGTGCACTCCAGTGAGATTCGAGTTGTATCTTTTAGCGCAGTAGTGGTTAAGGACTTTGAGAGTTTCATTCGTAAACATCCGAAATTTAACATCGTTTTCTTTGTTCGGTTATGGAGGTATTTGGCCGAATAGATTGCCGTCAACGTGACCTTTCCAGGCTCTGAGAAAGGCGAAATCCGCCGAAACGTCAGCTTATTCGTGAATAAGGAAGAAAAGTAACACCTCGCGTTTGCTTAGCAAGAATGCGAAGAGTTAGTTGATCAATGCCGAGGTTAATAGAAAGTCGGTCGTGGGAGTAATAAGTTAAAATTGTGATTATAACTGCATCCTCGGCTTAACTGGGTTCGTTGCCCATTTGGGCTCCCTAGATTAATCCCGTTGACGGGTGATTGCTAATGGCAAAAGATCGATAGAGCTAGCTGAGAGGCAGGCGAAACGAAGGACCCGCATGGTGTGGTGGTGAACGAGTTACTCCCCGGAAAGGACAATAGCGCGTTCGTTCCCCACCGCAGACACCTGTGGCCCGGATTTTTGCAAATATCTCAGCATCATTGTTATACTATTGGGCTATTTAAAATTTGGAAGCTAATGATAAGAAACCGAGGAAGTGAAGGTTATGAAGAGACGTTCAACATCTCTGTAAACCGTCAGACCGACATATCAACTTTAACTCGCACAACCTACAGGAGATCGCCAACTTAGGCCAGAATCTGTAAAGCTTTACGGAAAACCGATAAAGGATCTGAAGAGAAGAAGACCAGCACTATTGGCTGAGATCAGAGAAATTAAGCTAATAAGAATGTGACAGATGGATAGGCATAAGAACAGAAGGGGGATATATAATACAAGTTACGTTTTTTTGAATGCGGAGTGTGTGCCAGACCTCACAAACGAGAAATGGAATCTGAGTGTCAGATAGACCGGCTTCACATAATTTCATGCTACCGTATCTTTCTACCGTAGTTTATATGCAGAATGTGGAAGTGACGTTTTTCTATTACGATATGTATTGTTACACAAAAAAGCAGGCCAAGGAATTAACGAATAGAAAAGAATGCTGATGATTTTTAAAGCCGCCAGCGAGAGCGATCAGTATAGCCTCTACTTTGCCCTGACTCCACACAGTGACCACAAACACTTTCAATCTTCAACACTTTGAATAAATGAGAAGGAATTGGTTTCAGATACTGAAAAAATTGGTCGATTTGAGGATGCTCTACAAGGCGATCACTTTCTTAGACGAACGACTGCTAATCTATAATAAAACGATTCAATGCACACAACAAAACAGGGAATCCGCCAGGAAAATCCTGCAAAAAGTGACTCGTATCTGGGTGTTCCGCTTCAATTATCACTTTTAAATTAATTTTGCTCTCATCGAAAGTTCTAATTACAAGCCTAAAGAAAATTTCCTTCAGCTGGTGGCCTACGATAAGGAGCAACAAGAAGAGTTTGCAGCGTCTAGCACATTAGAGCTAACGAGAGAGGTAAGCAATGTAGAGCACCAAAAGAAGAGCAGAAAACTCGGACATTCCATCGAAACACAATACTCTCAAGGCTGACTTTCTAATAACCTCGACATTGACCAGTAATTCACGGTTTCTCTTCAATAAGTTAACACAAGGTTGGTATTACAGCATTAATTAGATCACAATGTTTCGACTCTTTTCAAGTACTTCAAAGCTTGAAAAAGTTAAATTGGCATGCTGTACACATAATACAATAGCAGTACCAGAAACGCAATAACCCGCTTGCATGGTATAAGAGTGGGTCAATTTTGACAGAACTGCTTCCAAGACAGCTTTCCCTTTTTAACATCTTCGATTCCTTAAGGCACAGACCATAAACATTTCGCGTATGGTGCAAAGACTTACATGACTCGCTAGTAGAACACTTTAACGGCAGCGTGCAATCTCGTCCTACATCGCGTTGTCGTCGAGTACAAAGACGTACACATCAAACGTTAATCTACCTCGATGGAATAATCCTTGACAAGAAAAATAAAGGAAACTTTCTCTTAGATATTTCATGCATTTTTTATCTTCCTTTTACAAAACAAAGTTTTTTACCCAAAGATTTCACGGTAGGCTTGAAAATCGTGGGAGAAATCTCGTAGAGAGTGCTCGAACGCAGTGTTCTTACTTTACGAATCGTCTAGGTATCGTCGGCATTTTGCCAGCTCGAAGGGATTCTAGTGAACCTGTTCCCATTCATTATAAACTCACCTCTACTCAACACTTTGCTTGAAACGATGTTCGGTCAGATGAGAGATGTTCTTGGGGCGTTAGCAAAGAAGGTGAGATAAAAACAAAGGGTTATATTTGTTTATCTAATCGATTACGCTGTCTATAACCACTTCCATTTTTTTTTGAAATCTTTTAAAATAGCCTACAAGAAACCGGCTATTACGGTCGAGTAGGTTAATGAAGCTTTGTAATAGATGGACAAAAACGGAACAAATAAGAGTTCGGTCTGCCTTCGAAGACCAGACAACGAATATTCAATATGTGAATTGTGGAACTCGTTTAAATCATACTGTTTCCAAGCCATTTGACGTTTCGACATCACGACGTTCTTCCCAGGATTGCATAGATACATCGTCAGTGCACATCTCCTCCACGGAATCTGTGGTTTCTGGTGAGTTAACTTTATTCATAATGCTTCCATCGGCATCTCTCTCAATCTTTCTACTATAACAGACAACGTTTGCAGATGTGCCAAATTTGGACGGCGATCTAAATAAGCTGTTCGCCGCTCCACAACGTCGAAAACATTGCTCGTATTTGAAGTAAGGGCTCAACGTTAAGAGTGGGAAAATTAAAGTTTCAACAACAAAATGAGGGTAACAGATTTCCAGAAAAAGAAGTGGGAAAACAGAAACAGGAATGCTTGGAAGGAGCTCGAGGAGAACGAGACTAGGGAGTAGCTTAACATTTCCATTCGAAAGCCACACAAGGAGTGAACCCTTTCAGCAAATAGTTTCCGCATGGCTAAAAGCTACAGAAAGACACCATGCGAAGGTAGAGTCCCGCTTGTGGTAAATGAACGAGGAGCAATATACTAAGCAGCTTCGCGACAAAAGCAGTAAGGCTTACTTGTCGAGCTACTCGATAATTGACAAGATAGATAAGTGGGGACGTAGGTGTGTAGAAGGACGCTCAACTGGAGACGAACGCGGCCGAAAGGTGAACCTGCCACTAGCTGACTTCGAGGTGGCGCGACATTGTACTTCATTACATATGCCGTTGGCTTACATATTTTAATGGACAAGTTACAAAAATAAATATCTCACAACACCATAGCGTTACCCACTTACTGTTAGCGATTCCAGGTTAGATGAATGGCCGTCCGAGGAGACACAGCTGAACCCCGTCGCTGGCGATACCGTTAGTTCGAGCGTGATACTGAGTGCCAAATTTCCAACAGAACCACTATCAGACTTTCATCAGTCTGATCGAAGTGGTAGTTCATCAAACTCAAGTTTATTTACGCCAGGTACTTTTCTAGTGGAAGCAGACCTAACAACAGCCGAAGGGAATTTAGAATCCTGGGAGAAATACCAAAAATTTTGTTGTTCTATTACTTTGTTACGATATTGATTCGGCAGACACTACTGATTTGAATTGCTGCAATTATAAAAGGATAAAGCTCCCGGCTTTGATCAATCCCTCAGGGATGCGCCATCCCTATCCCAGGTGTCTAAGGACTTTACTGAGAATCCTACTAGACCAGCTATAATTATACGAACCAAACACAGTAGTTTGTGCGAAATGGAGACTTTTAAATATATTTTCGATGCTATTTTCCATAATACCGTTTTATGCGAGTGGCACGCGTGGCGCAGCGGTCGGAGGCTCCCTGCAATACACACATGGGATTGACTTGGTACCAGACTTGTCTGGGAGCATACCAGCACTGCCTCGATACATTGCTAGGCAACCCCTAGTCATTGTAAAGGCCATATATGTATTCAATCATCTTCAACGATGCTTAATGAAGTAGAATGCATGGCGCATCCTTCAAGGATTGATCAACGTCGAGAGCTTTATCTTTTATTATCCTTATCGAAATCCTTCTATGCAGAAATGATGCGAAATGTTTACAGTTCTCGAGAACTGCTGAAAGTTATACAACTACGCCATTTCTGCATGGAACCTTGTGCACTGAAAAGTTTTGTTTGGTTTTTCAGGAAGCAAAAACACTCCTGAAAAAAGCAAGGGCTTAATCTCGTTCCACAGCATCAATAGCATGACCAGTTGTGATCGCCCACCGACATTCGTTGGATCGCGTGGACCTTCAGGTCGACTAAAATAGAGCAAACATTACTCATTTAGCACTTTCATTTTTCTTTCATTGCACAAAACTATAACCCATTTGATAACATCAAAGCGAATTGCAGAAATCTCTCCGTGCAGTTCATTCGAGGAGGCGACTTTGATTCGAAAGCCGCAAGTCGAGACAAAATGGAACATGAGTGCGGAGTCGTCCACAAGTACTGCTCGGCAGCAATCCAACAGCAGTGGCTGCGTACTAAAGACACCAGATACTCGTAAGGCCACGAAAAAATCGAAAACCGGCAAAACAACAAAGAAGAAGCCGAAGCAGTCCAAGAGCTTGCCACACCGCAAGATTTCAAAGTCGGGAAGGATCACTAGTACGTAATCGTGCATATCATTACTGTTTCTTAGCTCAGATTTCTTGAAGTTCCAGCTCCTGGAAATCTTCAGCCGAAAAGCCCAGTTGAGCAAGCGCCCACAAAGACAGAACGTAAGTTAAAATTTAACACAGTACAGAGAAGGAAGCTTAGTCTAATCGTTTCTTCCCTTTTTCCATGTACCATAATACTTCTAAATTCATTTTAACTTATTTGCTTATCTTTCCTATCTTATACTCATTTTTTATACAGTTTGACTCGGAGAGCAATGAGTAAAAAAAAAGGACAAAGCTCTCGGCGTTGATCAATCCCTGAAGGATACGCCATCAATTTGACTTCGATAAGTATCGTTGGAGGTCACTGAATGCATATCTGGTCTTTACAATGACTCGAGATGGCCTACCGATGTATCGAGCTAGTGCTGATATCCTCCCAGACAAGTCTGGTACCAGTTTACCGACCCCAGAGGGATGGAAAGATTGCTGCACCATGGGCGCGGAGATTCCACGTATCTGTCGCAATGGCACCTCCAATCACTGCGCCACACACGCCCAAGAGCAATCACTATAACTGGTAATTTGTGCTTCACCACTATGTCACTTGAAAATGCATATTCATTGGTCGATTCAGTAAACTGTGTGAGCAGCTGAGTTGATAAACGAGAAATGAAAGTGTTTCAGTTTTTTGAAGCGACCAGTTCACCTACGGTAAATCATTAGCTGGTGTCGTTCGTAATCATTGCTCGTTTCAACGTCTTCTACAGATTTGAATGCTTTGGAAATGAAACGAGCATTCATATCTCTTCGCCGTTTTCATATTGTTTTTTTTATTAAAAACGTTCAATAAAAATATATTTATTTGTGTGATCTTGTAAACTGGTCTTGTTGAGTTGATGCGAGGTTGGTATAAGGTTCCGCTGCCGTTGTCGTTGGTGCTGTCGGTCGATGGCTGACGACGTTTCGGCGATTTCGCCTTTCTCAGAGCTCTGTTGTTACGAATGGGACTTTGTGAGTTAGTGGCTCAATAAAGACTCATTAGAAGAAGATACTGCCGTGTGGTTTTAGAAACAACTATAGCTTCATGTAAGCTTTTCTTCACAAGGAAACGATCTACTAGACTTAGTAGTTCAAAGCGATGAACACCATGAACACCACTGCGATTCGGAAATTTGCTACAGTGGGCTCGGAGCGTGGATTTTTATCTCTGTGGAAGTTTTTGGTAGACGACACATCTGTTTACATCCTTCTCCATCCTCAGCTGAAGAATAGGTTTTCTAGCAAAGAATAGTCTGATGAGTAATGCGCTAAAATATTCCGTGCGTCTTGACAACTCTTGGAAGATCAGAGGTATAATAATCTGATAATGTAACACACCTTGCCATGAGAGGAAGAATAGCGGTAAATAAAAACTGATTACGCTGTGAGTTTTACGACTGATTTTCCTAATCGTTATTGCCTATGGGTTTCGACTTTTGGCCTTGCTCATTTCTTTTCGATTTAGTAGCATGATGAAAAAATGATGAGACTGCGATTTATTTTGTAAAGATTGATAAACCTCAGTTTTTATCTCCAGTTTTTATCTCTGTGGAAGTTTCTGGTAGACTACACATCTGTTTTTTGAATGGATCGTTCACCAAATAAGGCACCAGCTTCTGGCGTTGTTGTGGAACTTATGGGACGCACTAGTCCTTTGGTTCAATTTCATTAGTTCCCATCCCAATTTTGAAGTGAAACACCGTTTTTACCCATATTGTCAACAAAACAAGAAAAAATCTTAGAAAAGAAAACTAATAAGCAATTTAGAGCTTCCGTGATAGAAGGACTTCTTCGTTCTTCGAGACTTTTTTTTGAAATTCGCTGCATTGTTCTGGTTTTATTTTCATCTCTCGGAGGGTTCGGCTTCTATATAGGCCTTGAGCCGTCGGTCTTTTTTCACTTCCATCTTCTTTTTCGATTTCTAGTTCAATACTGGCTCCGAATCAACTAGTAGGAAGACCGAACGAAGGAATCGTTGCCAGAAAGATACTTTCTCCAGATTGACATCGCGCTAAAGATCTGAAAACACTATTACAAGGTTAAGTCAAGACTCCATGGAATATCGAATTATGCAACTAGCAATAGGTCAGCCTCAATACCCCGACCGGTTGCTCCGCTCAATGGTGCCAGGCGGTGAGACGACCACTGAGAAGCCACGAAATCTCGAATTACGCAGGCCGTCATTGGAACAGGATCTGACCAATACACACACGGCAAGCCATGGAGGTTGTTCCCTACCCTATATGTACAATACCAGAACATTCTCTTCAGATGCCAATCATCATGCCTTTCGTGGAGGCAGACCGCATCGAATATAATGTGATCGACGTAAAACAAACAAGAAGCAAGAAGACCAACGCACGCCAACTAAGCAAAGAGACCATTTCATCTGCGATGAAAATGTCCCTTCAAGGTGGTATAGGCTATATCGTTAACCATTGCCCGTTTTGTCGACTCGTAGGAAATCCTTCTCTTCGCATGGCCCTCCTTTGTCTTCACCTACCGCATCGGAAGGAGACCA